AATAGCTATTTACAAAATAAAAACTAAACGCTTTCAAAATCGAAGTACATGAATCAAGTACGCGTTGATATTTACGTGACAAAATACAGCTTTCCTATTGGACACTGAAAGTATCGGCCACGAGATCGTTCATCTATCGCCGAATAGGACATGCTCTATTCGTAAAATACGGCAGGAATTTGCAAGGACTGAAGTTGTTATGAAATCAAATTCCGACGTTGCTAAGGCAACGGTTTTACTTAGAAATTATGAGTATACCGCCGTTGTGAATGCGTGAAATCTGGCAAACCAGATCGCAAATTATGTCGCGCAAGATCGTAAATTATGATTTATCATGTCGTTGCTAAAGTAACAAAAAAACAAAAACTGTCCAGCATGAAAACTGGCGTCGTGTGCACCGGGCTTAAGTGTACCTATTGCCGTAAGACCTTATAGGAAGCTAGGGATGAACATATTCGGACTGCCCACAAACAGAAGGCTTGCCCTTTATAAATAAAAATGATTCAAAAAGTGTAACCGTTTGGGTTGAAGAGAATCAACGCAAAACTTCAAAATTTTATTTTATACTAGCTGACCCGGCAAACGTTGTTTTGCAAAATAAGATATATTCTAAACTATTTGTAGAGAATCAAAAATATATATACTTTAAGTGCATAAGGATGTGTTGTTTGAATGCTGTATACAATTAGGTATTATAAAAACAATAAACCCCATTAGTTTGTCTATATTTTGTCAATACAATCAAACTGCAAGTTTTATACACTTTCTATAGAAAACATCGTATAATCCAACCCGAGTCTTTTTTGGTCTTTCGGCTTATTAATTACGTTTCAAGTTTTTCAGATTCTTTTTGGATTCTGGATTTTGTGTATAATTGTAAATAATACTACTGAGCTTATACAAAATTTTCAAATTTTTGCGAGAAGAGATAAAAAATTAATTAAGTATTTCTTCTTTGTGAATTAAAGTAAATTCAAAAAAAAGTATATATGTAGAGCAGGGCGAGACACAAAGGTCCAATTTGACTTTGAGCAAATATAAAGTAAATTTTGAAAACCATAACAATTATATCATAACAAATAAGACATATCAAACAAACAATTATCTGACTACATTCAGTAAACTGACTTCTACTTCATCATTGTATAAATGTGCTTTTTTGATGTCTTCCAAAAATGTGTTATCTAAACCTTTTTATCCTATATGCGGTGTAACTTGTAACGGGCAGGTGGCAAAAGGTTTAAGCCTTATTATAATTTTAAAGGTATTTTACAAAATAATTACATTTTTAGCTAATGCTAAAACTACCAACGGAAGAATATACTTTTATTATGGATTTTCAAAGATTACCGTTTATCTCCCCCATTTCAAAGATTATCGTTTTCAAATCAAGTTTGTAGCTGGCTATACATCTTTTTTCCTCTACTTTCAAATATTATTGTTAAACAATGCTTAACTTTACTAATTTTTAGCACATCGGTGGTGGACCTTTTTAATCCCGAACCTTCATATATTACCATCTATTCTGCGATAAATTCTGGGAAATTATAACTGGAAAAATGTTATTCGACAAAATGTCCATTTGATCGATACCAAATTTAGGTTCTGAATTTAAATAAGATAATTAAAAAATAATATAACCTAGGAAATGGTTTTATAAATACCAATGAGTATATAATGATATCTTTCAGAGCACCGTGTTTGAGAAAAATATGCCAAAAAGTGCATTTTCATATTAACATATCAAAAAAGTTAATATTTTGAGTTTCTAGTAACACTTGCGGCCCGTTTACTAACGTTTTTGTGTATAAATATAACTACAAACAAAACTACTTACTACACATTTATCATAAATAAATAATATTCGCGTAAAACATCCTATTAAACGTAATTGAACATCATCTGTCAAAAGCGTTTGACATTTCACGAAATTGCCACCGTCCATTGTTTTATATAAATTACGCTTCTACAAAAATTTTCAAACTAAAAATATAAAGTTTCTACCCGGATTTGAAATAATTTCTCACCTTTTGGACTTTCTCTGGATTGGCACGAATTTTTCAAGACTAAGACTGGCCAAATCGATTCAGCCGTTTTCGAGTTTTATTCGGACATTTGAAAGAGAGCTCCATTTTTATATATATAAGATTAAAGCTAACACAAATTATTAGGTAATTAATTCTAGTAATTATAATAGATATGCAGGCGCAAGTATTATTGTATCTGCAAATGGCACTGACTAGATTTGCATTGACGGTACTAACGGCTGTGGATTCAAAATGCATATGCTCTTAGTAATTGATGAAATTTGGAGTGGAATTTTGCTTCTTGCACAGACAAGACAAAATAATTTCTAAAAAATACAATTATTTCATGACAGACGATGCTCCAGCATATTTTAATCCCTATTCATGCGTTACGGTGTCACCAGGTAAATTATTGTGTTCATGGAATGTGCCCAGGAATTGAAATGAGCTATGAAATTACCATCAACTATGAAGATTACCGATAGATAGAAATATATTAGATACAAATATATTACAGATAGATAGGCAAATTTATGAGAAATTAATGGCAACTCGGATAATTCTAATTAAAAAATACCACTTCGTGGTACAGTAAAAGTCAATGAAACTGCTGTGGATGCATCCCTTCGGCAAAACTAAAAGTGACCGTAGTTTTCTTTGAGTTTTACTTACCCTTACAATCGTTATTTAATATACTGTTTTAATATATTATTAAACTCGATACTTCAGTGCGAAATATTATAACAACCATCACAGCACAGGTATTACGAAATCCTCACTTTAACTTTTGATTAACAGGTAATGAAACATGTAAGATAATCAGATGCAATATTAAAACTTTACGGCGTTTTGAACAATATGCTCAAAACCAAAACTTCAGCACAGCGTTTGATTAATACTTTAACCCTTTCGACTCGGATGCCGCCGCTCCGGCGGCATAGCCATTTTACCGTTGCGCTCAGATGCCGCCGATCTGATCCGGCGGCATGATATGTTTTACCGTTAAGCTCGGATGCCGCCGCTCCGGCGGCAAATCGTGTCGGCGACGACTCGTCGCAAACTAAATTTACATTTAATTTTATTATTTTTTAAAAATTAATTTACTATTACATTCATTTATTGATTGATTTATTAATTTTATAAATAAATATATAACAAAATTAATTTAGTAGCTCATGATCCCCATAATTCTAATAAAGATCTGTGCAGAAATGATTTTTTAAACAATATAGCATGGTTTTGAGTGCAATTTTTTTTTATTTCCAAAATTTTCTATTTTATTATCATAATAAATATTTTTAAAAGCAATATAACCACATTTTGAAAAAATCCAATACAAAAAAAAATTCTGAGTTGAGAGATAAGTATAGCACTATAATATTCCGAGCGCAGCGTACCGACTGGCAGTCCGCCTCCCGAGTCGAAAGTGTTAATATGGTAATCCAGAAAAATTAGGTGTCAGAAAATATATTTAAAAAAGTAATAAGTAAAGGGTCTGATCGTGTTTCCATACAGAATTGGCCCCACCCTGGTATTTAAATAATATTAATGCCAATATATAGCATTTTTCGAGAAAATTCGAAATACCAAATTTCAAATCCGTAGCTTATCATTTGGCCGAGATATCATTGAAAATATGTGAAAGTGGCCCCTCTTTTCAAACTCACTTTTAGCCGGAACGGTGCAAGATATCGAAAAAAAAATTTCATCGTTGTGTTCACAGTGCACTGTACTATATTATTTATAACAAATGAAGTTTAATAATTATTTACAAGTGCATAAAAAAGTTGAAATAATTTTTTGTTCTGCATTCTCGGCCAGTGCAATTGTTTGGACCGATTTTTAATTAGCATCATTCGAAAGTTCATATATTTTTCCTTTGTTGAGCAAAATTTTGTTAAATTCTATGTGGTAGAACACATCGAAAAATTAAAAAAATTGAGGGAAGTACCAGCGCGCCTCGGGCATATTGCAACGTGCATTGATTGCGCTGGACAATGAGCACACGCTTTAACAAAAACTCTGCATAGAAATATATATTATAGAAATCCATTTGTATGTTTACATACGTTCAAAATGAGTCAAGCATTCCTAAAGCCGGCCCCAGACGTAACTGTATGCATGTTTATGTTTATGTACTTGCGCAAGCATATCACAAATGTCAAATAATAAATGTCAAAACTTAACCTAAAAATATATCTTTGTGATAATTGGTATTATTTTTTACTAAATTATTTGTGATTAGTCTATTACTGTAGGTCATATTTTTTATATAAGAAATGGATGACAATTTTATGGCTATGTCATTTGTATTTGCCACGAAAAAAATGGAAAATAACTAAAAGGAGATCTATTTGGTGCAAGGAATGGCTAAGAAAAATAGAACTGTTCTCGCATATAAATCTATTAAATGAATTCAAAGTAGCACCAAGGGATTGGCACAATTATCTTCGCATGGACGAAGAAACTTATTTAAAATTGCTAAAGATGGTTTCACCTCTAATTAGAAGACAAGATACTATTATGCGTAAAGCTATTTCGCCACACGAAAGGTTGACGGCAACATTAAGATTTCTAGCAACTGGAAGGAGTTATGAGGATTTAAAGTTCACAACATTAATATCTCCTCAGGCATTGGGTGTAATTATTCCTGAGACGTGTGAAGCTATATCTAAAATACTGGAGAAAAATTATTTCAAAGTAAGTATAAAAGTCAGTATGAAAGTATATTAATGTATTTATTTATTTATTCTTAAACAAGCCGTAATCAATAACTAGTATGATTATTTTAATGTGTCAGGTTTGTTAATAATTAGCAATTAAAGTTGGATTCAATATTCTGATATACATATGGACACAAAGCCTACTTCTAAAATAAAAAGAAATGAAATGAAACATTTAAAGATTTAATATTACACTAATCATAAAAATTAAATCAACTAAAAGACTTTTTTAATTTTCTTATATTCTTTATTAATATTCATCATAATGTTCTAAATATTCTGCTGCTGATGGATATGAAATGTAATCTTCATCTGAATTAGTATCGTTCATGAATCTTCGAACTACTCGACGATTCAATTCACTCATTTCGGCTTTAAAAATAGCTTGATCAATGATATTTTTTATCATCGGCGTTTGTGTTTTTGGCATATGTCGAAGTGTCGCTGCTATATATTTTCCATATGCTTCATAGTCCTCAGTACGATTGTTTAGGCGTTTATTTATTGACATCAAGACCTCATTTTGCAGTTCTTCTGTTGTGCTCCGCCGCTTCCGTTTAGGAGGTCTTGAGCTGCCGCTAGGTTCAGAAGAAAAACTTGGAATGGAAGAAGCTCTCACAGATAATTCTTCATCCCCATCATCAATAAAGCAATCACTTTCTATTTCCTAAATAATATATATAATTCAGTCTCCACAAACAAAAGAAGATTGGAAAAAGACAGCAAAGAAATTTGAATAACGTTGGAACTTTCCACATTGCCTAGGCGCGATTGATGGCAAACACATAGACATTATTCCTCCTAGTGGAAGCGGGTCTTATTACTATAATTATAAATGTCGTCATAGTATGGTGCTACATGCAATAGTAAATGCAAACTACCAATTTATCATATGTGACTTTGGAGTTAATGGCAGGATATCAGATGGAGGTGTACTTCAAACAACCGAATTCTATGACAAGCTACAAAAAAACAAATTGAATATTCTATCAGACGAACCAATCAAAAATAGTTCTGAAATACTGCCATGCATATTTATTGCTGATGATGCTTTTGCTTTGAGAACGAATATTATGAAACCATTCCGTCAGTCAGATCTTACTTCAAAAGATAAAAAGATTTATAACTATCGTGTTTGTAGAGCAAGACGCATTGTGGAAAACGCTTTTGGTATATTGGTTTCTAGATTTAGAATATTTAAAACACCAATAAATGTCCAGCCAAATAACATTGATCGTATAGTACTGGCAAGTTGTGCTTTACACAATTATTTGATGACTAATTCTACAAACTCATATACTTATGCAGAATGTTTTGACAGAGAAAATATGAAACAGGGATGTATTACACAGGGGTTGACTTCTAAAGATTCAAACATGAAACATTTAAATCAACGATATTTAAGAAATAGTCCAAATGTCGCAAAAATCTGAAGGAAAAAATATGTGCATTATTTCAACAATGAGGGAAGCGTGCCTTGGCAAGACAACTTTATTCATTGACATTATGAAAATTATCATTATCTATGTTATCCTTTGATTTGTATAATGAATACTTCTAATAAATAAAGTTACTGTGAACTTACTTGATCGAAATTAATCCCTGATATATTAGAAACATGGGCCCGTGGTACCGAATGATCATCATCAAGAAAAGTGAGAAGTTTGAAATACCATAATTTCGGTTCTGATGTGCCTGCGCCAGATCTTTTAGATTCATCAATTTTTTTTTCTTTTCTATAATTTGTACGCAAGCTATTAATTTTCTTTACTATTAAGTTACGATTAGCACTTGGTTCTATATATTTGTACTGTTCCACTAATTTATTATACGCAGAATTTTTCAAAATTTTATCATGATAAGCTGCAGATTTGACTTGCCACAAGCAGGGTTCATTCCGATATATTTCTATGAAGTCTTCCATGATCTCTCTGATTCCTCCTTCTCCATGTTGGTTTACATAAGACATATTTAACTTCCCGAAGGAGAAGTTTATGTTTTCATAAAAAATCCGAATTTTATGTTTTCTCGACGTTTCAAGCCATTCTGAATCGAATGAGACCAAATTTGGGAAAAGTATGTGTGTGTGTGTGTGTGTATGTGAACAGATTTTTTCCTTTAATTTTAATAAGACAATAAAGCATGTGTATATAAACTAAACTATGCAAGTTATAATAAAAATATTTTCAAAATAAAAAAATATAATGTTGAATAATAACATAACCTATATAAAATTATAAATATAAGGTTGGGGAAAAAGAAATCCATTATTTTTTCGGTAGATGGCTGTAGTGATTGATATCTCATAAACTATCTATCAAACAATTTCAAATTTATGCTCGTTGTCAAGGTAACAGTTCGCACAAAAAGAATTTGTTTGCAGTTTTTTGTTTTGTCCATTCAGTTCTGAGTTACACGGCGTTAAAGATTGAAGTCAACAAAGAGAAAATTCGGTTCATTTTACAGTTTTTCTTTGATAAGGGCGAAAATGCAAGTCAGGCGTCTGAAAATGTGAATAGTGTTTATGGTCCCGATACTGTAACAGCTAATTACGTGCAATTTTAGTTTCGTCGATTCCGTTCGGGTATTTTTGACGTTAAGGATGCCCCTCGCGAGGCATCACAGAAGAGGTGTCGTGCTCCATCAGGACAACGCCAGGCCACACACTTCTATAGTGACTCGTCGGAACCTCCAGGAGCTTGGTTGGAAAGTTTTGATGCATCCACCATACAGTCCGGACCTCGCACCAAGCGATTACCACCTTTTTCTTGCATTGCAAAACTTTTTTAGTGATAAGAAATTGGCATCAAGGGAAGAGTGTGAAAAACAATTGCTGGAGTTTTTCGCTAATAAGGATCAAGACTTTTATGAGAGAGGCATAATGAAGCTACCATTAAAATGGCAACAAATTATAGAACAAAATGGTGCATATTTGGCCTAAATCGGACAATGCAAAACATGTTAAATAAAGTCTTGAAGTTCACGTAAAAATAATGGATTTCGTTTTCCCCAACCTAATATGATAAAAACATACTTGAAAATTATCCTGATTATCACAACGTTCATGTATCTGAATATGAATATATGTATATGAATATGTATATAATCTTGATTATAATTTTCGATTTGAATTAAAAAGTACGTCACCCTAAATATTAACAGCATCAGAAGAAGATTTGTTTGAATTATGTATTCGTTGCAAAATAAACCAAAAACGGTACATATGCTCCCACCCGGCCAACGAATGAACTTGCCGACTTGAATGATTGCGCAATTAAAATAATAGAAAAGTGCTCATGCCTACTCGCTTGCACCAGTCTGTCAAGTTGCGCAAAAAACTCCACAGACGCTACAGAATAAACGTGCAAGTCGCAGGTTGCGCAAGTATACAGTTACGTCTGTGGCCGGCTTAAGAATCAATACAATTAAGTTGGTACATAATCTCTTTTCAAACAATAATTGAACATTGAGATAAAAATTCTTATATTCCTATTCTATTTTTATCAATTCTGCAATACAATAAAAAATTTAATATTTAGTAATCTAAAAGTCTATGCTTTTATTATTTGTATCATGTACCATTCGATATTGTGTATGCCTCAAATACAGTCACTTGGAATTTAAGTAATTTTAGAAAATAATTTATCTGGTTTTCGAAAACTGTGTCGTTAGTTGATTTCGGAAACAATATTTTTGTGCTGTCTATATTTTGCTTTCTTATGTTTTGTGTGATATTTTGTGAACACTAATTTTGTGCCAGATTGAAATCGCTATTTTCTTATATTGTAATGACAATTTACTTTGTGTAGTGAACATTTTAGTGATTTAATATTTGCTAACATATTATATTATTACTTGCAAATTGTATAGCAGTCTATTCATTTTTTTGTGTTTTGTGCGTTTTTTGCGAACTCTAATTTTGTGTCAGTTGAACTTGCTATTTTTTTATTTTGATAACTATTTAATTTGTTGAGTGTATATTTTAGCGGTTCATTATAATTTGTTAATATAATTGAAATTATAATATCGCAAAATTGCAAAAATTGTAATTAATGTTTGATGAAAATTGGTGGGCAAAAAAAGGTCGTTTTAAGTAAGGATGATAAACAATTGTACAGTAGTTTTACAGACAAAACTATTTTAATTGGTGATATTTTGTGTGTTACGTGTAGACTAATTCCTAGAAACTCTAGTAGCAGAGCAAGCATATGTAATGCAAATAATTCAGTGCTTAGTGGTAGTGATAGTAGTTCTGTAAGTGCATTTTGTAGTGAATACGATTGTAATATTTTAGAAAAAAGTGATATATTTGTTGAACTTTGTCTTAATCGAATAGAATCGACCCATCGACATTGTTCAATTTGTAATAATAGATCCAACCTTGTTACAATTCCTTTAGAGGCTAGAATTAGTATGTGCAAAGGCCAGAATTTTTATTCCTACAGGTAATCGTACCTGTAATAAGCATTTGTTCGCTAATTTTTTTTATGAAGAAGATATACAACGGTCGCGTATTTATTTAAATACAAGCTATGTGCCTCAGAAAGAAGTTTCCCTTTTTTGAACGGCTTGGCAAGTTCAAACCAATCACTATTTAAACAGATGGAAAATTTTGCTGTCACCGGAGAAAATAAAATATTAACAGGATTTTATCCGGAAGTTACATATAACATGTGTTATCATGGAATTAAGTAATATGTTTAAATCAATAAAAGACAACAAGAAACGTAGTATTATGCAAGCATTAGTTATTTTTTTATTTAAATTAAGAACCGGAAACTCTAACAATGTTATCGCCGCTATTTTTAATATTTCTAAAAGTCAAGTTTTTCATTATTATTCTCAAATTTTAAATGGATTTGAAAGGGGCATATTAGTTCAAAATTATGGGTTAGAGTCTTTTACAAGAGATCAATTAATTTTGGAGACTTCGTACAAATCAAAAAAAAATCTTAATTTGCCGGAAGATCGGTTAGTTTTAATATGTGACGGTACCTACTAGAGATGGGCTTATTATATCCGAAGCCGGATCGACTCGGATTTGACTCCGCTTCATGGTGAAGTTATATCCGCTAAACAACTCCACGACTCCGACAATTTTGAAACCGAAATACTCGAAACAAATGTGTTCTATAGTACGCTGTTTATGTATCTAAGGATTTGTCAAATCCCATTAATTATTTGAAATAAAAATTTATGAATAATTATCAATAAAATTATTTTTCTAAAAAATTCACGAATAAATGACGGATTGTAAAATTTTTCGGTCGACCAGATGATCGACTCAGTGACTCGTATTTTTAGCAGTGTTGACCAAAGTGAAAACGCAAAACTTGAGAATTTAATGATTTCCTTTTGATTAGAAAATAATTGATTTTTTGGATTAATTTTATATAAAAATTATGTAGTAAACTTTGTAATAAAAGCAAAACATAATACTTCTGCTTTCAAAATTTTTCTTCTGCTATTTCCATTTGAGAATTAATATTACATCGCGTAGTTCGATTAGCATATTATTACTTTTACACAAGTATATAATTAATAAAGTAATAATATAATACATAATATTTTTTACTGCTTAAATACTAATGATATCACTGATAAATTTTGTACTCTAAAGTGTTGTTATTTCAGGCTATGGAAAAACAAGATTAAATAAATGTATTTCGTTTCGTATATTTTTCGGTATGTATATTCCTGATTGCCGTCATTTACGGCCAAAGATTGTCGTAGTTAGAAATATCACCCCTTACTATTCAATAAATTATACATTTGAGCAATTCACACTTGAATACAATTTCATTGTTCTGTATCTTTAAAGTAACATTTTTGTATTTTCTGGAAAATACACAATGGTATTTATTTTGACTTTTATACCTAAAAAAGGTCATAAAACTGTCTGCGAGACAAGAAAGTGACCGCTTCCTTCCCAAAGCAAAAACGACAAAAACACTAAATGCCTTTAAGTGAGTTAACAGATTTAATACCAGTTTAAGGAAGTCGGATATGACAAATCCTGTGAAACAACTCCACTCGGATTCACTCCGAGGGAGGAGTTGTATCGGAGTGATAAATCCGGAGTGAGTTACCCATCTCTAGTACCTATATACATCATGAAAAAAGCACAAATAATGAGTACTAAAGAAAGTCGTTTTCAGAACAGAAACGGGTTCCATTGTGTAAACCATTTACGATTTGCACAACGAATGGTTTTGTCGTTGACTTCTTCGGGCTCTTTCTGGCAACACAAAATGATGGAAATATTATGAAAATTATATTGAAAGATTCGCACGGAATTAGCACTTTTTTGCATCTAGAGGATATTTTTTTTTAGTTGATCGTTGATTTCGTGATGATATTTATGATATGAAATCAGCAGGTTTTGTTCCTCTTATGCCGTGTTGTAAAGGCAAAAGAAAACAACTTACGACTGAAGAAACAAATTAATCCAGAAGGATAACTAAGCTCCGATGGGTTGTCAAAGCAGTTTATGGCAATATTGCACAAAGATATCGATTGCTTCATCATACACTAGACAATAAAGCACTGCCTAAAGTGAAAATATTGTGTAAAATTGTTGATTTTCTACATAATAAGTATGAAAAGCGGCTGTCATCGGATGGAGATGTGGCGGATGAAGTTATCAATGACGTGAATATACGCAACATACCAAATACTTTATTAAATGAAGTCATTTGAAAAAGATGGAGTAGGCGAGCGACAACACTAGAACTTTTCAGCCAGATTGTCTATCAGGCTTCCCACACTTAAATGAGCGAGAACTCAAAATTCTATTTACAGGCTCCTACCAGTTATCCCAAGCGGTATCCTATCTGGCTGAAATTTTAAATAACGACAGTCAACCAAAGATAGATTTTGGGAAAGAAAATTCTAATATAATTAGAATGAATATTCGATCACGGCATGTTAATAGGAAAACCTATAATGTCTATATAGAGTACCCACCAC